GAGACACCATTCTATACCCCTAAGATACATATTGTGTAGTACTAAAGACATATTTTACTTTTTTCTAGTGGATGGTACCAACTATTAAAAACTCTTTAAAGCCCATTCAGGTACAGACAACTGATGATCTAGAGAGACATTCATTTGACAAATTTAAGACAACTTCATTTTAGACTAAATTGGTTTTTACTCCTTTTTTCTCTTTAGGAAATGGATATATTTAGGGCAGTTGAAAGAATAATGAAACTAGCAGTAAGTCCTTTCAGCCCTGACTTAATGAATGTTAACAACAACTGACAGAGCCAAAAACAAAGTCAATAATTTTTATGTAGTTGTCAGGAGAATACTTTGTTTTTCCTTTCATTACTTTTTGCAATTATATTTGATAATGAAAAATAAAATAAACAAGCAAATGTTTTAAGAATAAAGCAAGTCTCTGGAATGAAGGGATCATTTAAGATTGTTTGTTTGTTTGCTTTTTTTCAGATCCCAAACCACTTTCTATGGCTGTTGTTCTTCTATTGTTTCTTTCATACACTTCTTAATATCACTGGTGAACTACTGAGGTTTGCTGACAGAACTTTCTATAGAGACTGGTGGTAAGTCTTAATTTGCCTTGGTAGAAGAGGCAGGGGGTGATTCCTATTTATCAGAGGGTAGGGGTGCTCGCAGTACAGTTAATATATTGAATGTGGGTTTGCCAGTAAATGACTTATTCAACTACTGCAGTAGATAGTGTCAACTCGAATGCAGCCACTTTAACAACTTATTCCGAAAATGTAATGAAGCTTGCGGCCCCTCACCTATATGGAACTAAATATTGCAGATTTTATTGGTCTCAAGATATAAAATTATGAAAATATTCACTCGACAGATATAATGTACCAACTTATTCCAAAAATGTAATGAAGCTTCCGGCCCCTCACCTGTATGGAACAAAATATTGCAGATTTTATTGGTCACAAGATATAAAATTATGAAAATATTCACTCGACAGATATAATGTTATATATAATGTTATATTATATTACATAAATTGCACTATTATATTACATTTGTTAGGAATTCCTCTACAGTTGAGTACTTTTGGCAGAACTGGAATATCCCAGCACATAGATGGGCCTCAAGGTACAAAATTCAATTAGTTTACATAATATCAACTGTGCATAATTATGTCTTTATATCAATTGCAATTAAAATCTTTCCATTTATAACAATCCCACCATTTTTGGTAAAATTATCTCCCAAAATTGTTTTTCATGCATCCACTTCTTTATTCTTGTCATTCATCTTCCTAACATTTAATTGACATGTTTATTTGCAGGCATCTCTACAAACCTATGATAAGAAGAGGATATTCCAAATTGCAAGCTCAGATAACAGTGTTCATGCTGTCAGCTTTTTTTCATGAGGTTACTAATAAAATGTTTGTTCAAATTATACAGTCACTTTTTGTGATTTGAAAAAGATCCACCAATTAATTTGTTTTGGCTAGCAATTGAGGCCTCAGCATGTTCTGGTTGCCTAACAAGTCAGCTGGCACCCATTCTGGTTACAGTGAGGCATAGCAACTATAAGTGTCAATATATGTAGCCATATGATCAAGGACACAATAATTGCAACACAGTACTTACAGTTTTATCTTGTACAGTATCTTGTCAGTGTGCCTTTGAGAATGGCAAGGTTATGGTCATTCATGGCAATGCTTGGGCAGGTAATTCTTACAGTTAGAGTACTTTGACTACTAAAATTTAAGGAGAATTTTGTTAATTTATATTTTCATAAGTTTTGCTGGGCAAAATAAGTCATGGTAATCAATTTTTTCAATTAAAGTTGCAACAAGTCATTCTTTTTTTCTGTTATCTACTGCACATTCACACAATGAAATCTGCTTGACTTGTACAGATAAATGTTTGTTTAATTGGTTAAGTGACTGTAAACTTCGAATGTGTTGCATTCAGACTTTTCCCTGTGTTTTGTAAGGCAAAGCTAGAGCAACCATGCAAGTCCAGTGAGATGTAATGCTATACATGTACAATATGGACAGAAAAGACCCAGAGAAGATATTAAAATTGAATAGTTATGATCTCACACACTTTTTTACATTAGTTTACTGGTTTTGTGCTTACATCTCATCTTGATTCAGATGGACAATTATTATGATTAAATACTGAGTGCACTTTGTGTTTATCAGATTCCTATGGCAGTGTTTATAAAAGCATTCATCAGTAACCCCAACTATGGCAATGTTGTAGTGTGGTGTTCTATTATACTAGGGCAACCATTGGCTATTATGATGTACTTTCATGATTACTATGTTGGAAGTCTGCAGGTACATGAACATATTGATCAAAATACCTATAGGATACTGTCATGTGAATAGACAATTTTGATAAAAATAGTGCAAATATCTAGTGGGCATTTTGCCAGAGTTCTGAAGCTACATGTGCCTGTCTGCAGTTTTTAAAATATATTAATTTGCAACAAGCAAGAGACATATTTTTAAGTCATCTAGTATATCCAAAGCTCCCTTTAAAATATGTTTGCTTCAAAATACGTTGTATAAAGCAGCACGTCATCTTGGAAATTTATCATTTGGTGACATTTCAAAGTGTGCCCTTGATAGCAAATATTGAACAATGTGTGGAGCAAAAAAAGAAAAAAAAAGAAATGGAAGGGAAAACAATATTCTCAGGGGGTGGTGGGGCTACTGCATATTAAGTGAATGAATACTTGTCTAAAAAAATGTTATTTTCTTTTAGTGACATTGGAAGGAAAGAAGAAGTAGATTTATTAAAGCAAAAAGTATTTTGATATATTGGTATATTAATATTATTACATCTTTTTTCTTCCTGCGCAGCATTGCCATTGATTAGCAGTTTTGCGAGATGATATTGGCAAAACAACTGATCTCTGGCAAATGCAGGTAGATTTTTTTTTTCATTAAGTAAGATTGGAAAATAATGTTCATCTAGGGAATTATTTAAGCATATTAATTATTAATATGGTAATATTGAATTTTTCAAACCAATTAACCAAATTTGTAGCATTTTTAATTGATTACAATTAGAGTAATGTATGATAATTTATAACTATTTCTACATTCGCATCAATGCAATGAAGACTTTTAAAGGTTAGTCTCCTCACAAAGCATCTCCCGGCTCTCACATAATCTTCCTTGTTATTGATAGTCTGGCTGGGAGCATAATTCAAATGGTGATGCTATTAGCCTGTGTCACATCTGGATGTGATGCAGGCTACGATGCTGGATGTAGGACAAAAAAATTGTCTTGATCTCAGTATCCCTCAACCTCTCACCAAAGGAAGACCACCCGTTGATAAAGGTAATCCTGAGAGAAGGAAGGTTGCCTGTGGAGGGTAGAGTTTTATACTATATTTTCATGAAAATTAATGAAAGTGTGTAATGCACTTTTTCACCACAGAAAGCCCAAATAACACTTTTAAGGAAATTTCAAGCTGCTAAAAACTCTAGAATTTGAATTACAATGGGTGATTTTCATACAGGGACACATACATTCTGGAAAATGGACAGGTGTATGAACTTTGAAGTTCATGTTTGCACGCTTATCACAAATATCTTTGCCTAGAGATTAATCCAGGAGAGAAGCTTGCGAATAGAGACTATCATGTAATTTAATTTTTTGGCGTTCAATGCAAGGCATGTATAGCTCTATTCACTGGCAACTCTCAGTAAAATGAAGTCCAAAACAATGTAATTTGGTGTAATTTAGCATAGAGTACAAACACTAAAACTGTGCAACATAAATACCTGAACTAAATACTGCTAAATTGTGCTAATTCTATTGTTTTCCATTGTTTGGTTAGCACTATTTTATAGTAAATAGTGGAAAGTGTTGCACTCTTTTAGAGTGATCGCACTTAAACTGTGCAACTGTACAAAACCTAAGTAGAACTAATTTGTACTGTAGACCTGAAGCAAGACGGTAATTTGAATTGATCATTTGTATCAATTCAATTTTATGTTCGAACCGCATACACGATTTTCTAAATACAACTAAATAGCACTATTTAGTTTGTACAGTTGCATGGTTTAAGTGTGATCACTCTAGTGTTTGTACTCTATAAATACATGTAATACATATTTTAGATAGGTGGAAATGCAAAAAATAAATAAATAAAAATCTGATTTTACTGAATGAATTGTAAAAGGAATTGTTCTCTTCTTCCTCCATCTCCATTAAAAAGATCATAGACATGGCATTTCTAATTAGAACTCAGTCTATGTTGCTGTCATGACAATGTGGTTGTATTTTAATGATAAAGGAAATACCAAAAAAAAATTATATAAATTAAAAATTTTCATTCAGAATAATGACTATAAGGGAAAGAAAAAAARAAGTAAAATAGAAATGGCTAGAACAACTTACACTCAATGCACAATGCCATTTGTGTCAAATCTTTACCTGAGATTTCATTTCTTTATTAAAAGCATATAAATACATAATTATCACATAATTAACATGTATTGCAATCCAAAGATAAATCTATATATTTTAGTAGAATAAGTGCTTGTAAAGACCGTAAATTATTAAAAGTACAGGTAACAGAAAAGACTTTTGATAATAAAAGACTAGGGTTTCTTAATAATTATCAGTTTGTGACTAATATCTTCAATCAATATTTCTTTCTTTTGAACAATCATCTGCATATTCTAACTAAATAAGCTGTTTTTCAAAAAATAACCAATCTTCTTTATTAAAACTGCTGACTAGCATTAACCAATGTGAATGTAATTTACATTTATGCATTATACTAAGTGTTAAGAGATTCTTCATCAAGACCATCATTTCTCTGGTTCGTCAACTCCAGCTTGATTCATTAGGTCACCAATGTTCTTTTCCAGCTCGTCAATACGATTGCTCATTTCATCAAGTAAACTAAGTTAAGGAGTACATATTTACAAATTTAATGGTTATTACAACCCTATTAAAGGGACACTGTCAATGGATGACATGCGCGAGTAAACTTGAAAACACTACACTAGGCTAGTGTTTTCAAGTTTATGACTCCAAGTTGGCGCGACATAAATCAGATCGTAAACGTAAACAAATCTAGAATATTCCACAGTGTGTCAAAAGCACCACAAAATGATTTACCTCGAAGGTTATACTTTCAAAGTCCGTTTAGAGGTGAGACTGTTACTGCGCATGTCATCCATTGACAGTGTCCCTTTAACATACACTAACCTAGGCATGTTAGAGTGTTTGGTAACTCTTTAGGTTTTCTACAAGTTAATCGCAGGATTTAAGGCTTGGGATCAAATAACCAAAATACTGGCCCCATGATTGCAATATTCAGATGCATTCATGAAAAAAAGGTATTTGGGCACAATGACAGGAAGCCCAACAAAATGGGAGAGTTCCAAGGAGACTAGCAATGGAAGAAAAAAAACCTACACTGCTTTTGCAATTGTTTGCATTGCTATATAACCTGTGCTTAAACAGACAGATTCTTCAAAAATATTTTCAACAGTTTTGATTGATTGCAATGTCTAACTAATTACACACATGACTTTTGCCTTAGGTGGGCACAGTAATGCAGTAATGCTGACTGGCAATAATAACTGTAACAGCAGTGGATTGGATCAAATGGTGTGGCTTTAACTCTATCACATCATTATTCACTCATCAAACAACCTTGAATATGACAGACAAGTCTGTGGTTTATAATGAGTGCTGTGTGGGTTTTGGTGTGGTGTGCATATTTGAAATTACTAATTGTATCTCTTATAAATTATAAAATTTGTACATATTTCTTGGGCTTGGAATTGCCAGCCATTGCTTGTTATTTTGGATGGCAGAATCTTTTTTTTTTCATGAAATTTGATATTTTTTAGGATATTGCAAATTATTGGGCATGTTGATCTGTCTTTAGAAATTCAGTAATTTGATGAGAAAAAAAAGCTACATAGAAATTCAAGCCCTTTCTGGCACTGTAAAAGTCAATATTTCACACAAAACCAAAAAAGCAGTCATCAGTCTTACAACATTAAGCGTCATCTAAACTTTAACAAATACTTATGAATGAATTAATAGCAAAGATTATTTTCAATTTTGACGGTTGATTTCTGTAAGCGTCGGTGTCAAGTTCGAATGTAAACAAACACGAAATAGACGCGAACACAAGTACCGATTCAAAATGTCAGTACACTTATAACAGCCCGTAGATCTTAATATTGGCGTTTGTATAGCATTGAAAAGGATATTCCTTGTGATGATTTGGTCAGACATGTTTTGGAACTTGTCTTGCTGTAAACAGAAATGAGATTTTTAGAATTAAGTTAAGTTAAGTTAATTGACTCTAGGAGGACTTTTTCTTGACGAATATTTTAAGCAATACATGTATATTCGTTATAATCTAAAGTTAGAAAAGTTGTTTATATTCTCTAAAGGTCACTTACCATTTGGGTCAGTAGTGTTTGAACCTATATTTCAAGTATGTTAAGGAATAAAAGTTTGCAAATGCTGAAAGTGAGGAACTGGTTATTCAGCGGTGTTTGTTGACAGGACTACTAAGGTACCTCAAATCCAGAGTCAAAATTTATGGACTTACACTTCAAATTTAAGGTCAAAAATACCTATACAGGTTAATAAAAGAGTAAAATACATTTTAAACTTAAAAAGGATACAAATCCAGTCAAATCGTGGATATTTTCGGGGTCTTTGGCAGTAGTTTTCACGTCCGTGTCACCCATTTTGACTATTTAGTGAATACTAGACCCATGCTCACGCGGTAATGCTATCCACAGGAGGACCGTCTTAACGTGAGGGGCTTGGAATCGACTTAGAAACAAGATGGCGGACTACACAGCCATGACAACATCAAAAACTGATTTGAAATGGAGTTAATAGTCACGTTAATCTAGTCCAAAAGTTCTTTTAAGTAATAGTTATGGATGGTTTGTAGTATGAGCAGTCAAAGACATCAGCAGCATCTGTCAACCTACTTGAAAACAAAGAAAAACAGCCCAGCAAAAGTGAGCAAGTAAGAAAACTTTTTTCCTAAACTTTCTTTAAGTTATCGCTTTTCTTGCAAACGAATAATAAATTCGTTAGTATCAGTGTTATAAATAAATAAATAAAACTGCATTTTAAATCGTGCAGAAATTTACAGTCATGTCCAAAATCAACTGGGACCTGTTGCTCTCAAAAATCCAAAACAGAAAGACAGCCTTTATCGAGTTTGAAAACTCATTCAGTACAGAAGCATATTCACAGAATACAGAAAAAAAATGAGGACCATATTAACAGGTTTGACAGCAATTAGTATCTAGTAGTTATTGCATGCTAAATTGATATATTATAAATTTTACAACAGTCGGTATAACCTTAATAGCCTAATTGGCCTAATTAAGTTTATTAAGCTTTCTCTAAAACAAAATGCACATCGTGATGAACAATCATAACGACTGACTTTTTTGAATTTCAAACTAATGCGGGTTTTCCTAGATAGCAATATAATAAGCATTAAAGGATTCTCATAAAGACGGCAATCAGTATTCTGAAAACCCAGTTTTCTAGAACATACCTAAGCATGGCCATAGTGACAAGGAATGCACATGAACATTGTTTAATATTTCTTGTGCTTATTCATGAATAGTGAAAATCATTAACTTGAGGTTATATTTATTATTAATTCATGTTCATAATAGTGTCCTTCATAAAATGTATTTCTAATCAATCTTTTTCTTCCATACACTGTAGTTCTTTTGTTGCTTAATTTTTGATTTTTTGTAATACAGTCTCCCTGATGAAACTTTGTTCAAGATTTTTGGGTATTTGAGTTTGTCTGAATTACTTATTTGTGCTCAAGTCTGCTGTAGATGGTCAACTCTTTCTAAAGACAGGTTATTATTTCTATTTGAATTTATATTCATGTACAATTGTATTTATGATTTTAATGAATTAATTAACTCGGGTCAATCCAGTTGTCATGAATGATACTTTTAATACCACAAAAACTAAGTGTCTACTGTGTAATGTTTCCACAAGTCAGAGTAATTTCCCTATCTTACTAATTTTGAAAGCTTTTTTTCAAAATGTAAATATAAATTATTATATAAATTATCTTTTCTGTTATTTGAGGGGCCAAGGGGGTTGGAGAGGGTGTCTAACTGTTAACTGTTTCTGTATGTTGGAAGGGAAGTCAGGGGCTAGGGTTTTGCAAAATATGAGTGGAAGGGATGGGATGGTGTTCTAAATTGAACTTAAACTTTTTTTCTTTCTTTTTTTTTTTATTTGTAGGTCAATATGGGAGCAGGGCATTTTTCTAAGTCTTCCTCAAGAAGTAAGAAAACTGTTTTCATTTGATGAAACAAAGGAAGAGAACTTCAACTGGAAAAAGCAAATTATCAAAAGGTTCATTACGTAGATTTACGTAAATGCAGTGCAGATTAGATGAACAAAGCTTTAATTGCTATAAATGGCTTTTGAAAAATAATTACAAATGGGAATATAAGATAAACATTCATAAATAAGTCATGTATACACCTATTATAATTAAATCAATCAGAAATTAGTTAAATTCTGGGACAACATATATATTCCTCATTTTGTCTGTATGTATCATGAATGACAGCATAATTAAGAGTAGAATGGATGATAATTAATGTAAATACTTAGCCTCCTTCCCAGGCTACTCCATCGGAAATGAACATTTTTCTCTTCTTGGTCTTCCTGTGTTCATAATCTTGACCGAGAAGAACTGGTGTCGAGAGATTAGGAATAACCCTCTCCCCCTCCGGCACTTTTTTTGCCTTAACACAGGAACCCCACGGAGTAGAGTTGCCTGCGTAGGAGGCAGTAAATACTGATATCTAGATTTTGTTATTCTGCAGATGTATTAGTGCAAGAAACAGCAAGTTTGCATCCTCAAAGAAAAAAGTCAATCCATATACTTGTCTCCAAGCTGACGTTCAAAATATTCTCAAGTGAGCACCCAGTGCTTTGATTTATAATAGAAATACATTGTCTGTGCTACTGAAACCTATGACTGTCCATGGAGGTGACACACTATCTGTTCCCTCACACTTGTCATGCTGTCTTTAGTAATATCCACTAACTGAGTATCCAATCCCATGCCCTTTTTCCACAGAAATCTTTGTGTGAGTTGGAAGATTTGCTTCACAGACACCAGAGGAAGAGAACACTGGGCAACATCCTCTGAAGCAACATATTTTACCTCCTCTGTGTCTGTGAGGTGGCTTTCTTTACAGCTACCATCTTTGCCACAGCTTAAAACAATGAGATTGTTTTCTTGTGTGCCAGTTTTCTTTAACAAAGCTTGGAAACCCCATAAGAAAAGGTACATTGTAATCCAGAATATGTTATATAATGATATACATGTCACCATTTTAGCAAATTAGTGATTGTGATGAAGAAAAGATGCAGGTAAAATATCAGCTGATATAATAGGCATTTTATGGCTTTTTGAAGTTCTTGTTAAGTGCAATAAGATTGAATATATTTCAATTCCTAACAAAGCTTCTGCTGGTAATATGTCGTAAGTGTGTCAGCATCAATATATTTCTCAAATGCGTACAACATTTTGTCAACTGTAAGACCCCTTTAACAATTTATCTATGGGTTGATTAAATTTAGAAAAAAATATTTTGTCATTTTCAGTAGTACAACACACTCCCTTTTAATGGACTTTGACTTGAAAGAAAAAGGTAAAACATGAAGAACCTGGAATGTATTTATTATTCAATTTTTTTTGTCCTGTTAATGCTATTTTTCTTACTTCTATTGTTATGTCTGTACTTTATTTGCCTTTCTTGTTTGCCCTTCAATCTTTTCTTTGTTGATGTTTTCTTCTTACTAATATTTCATGGTTACTTTTTCCCTTCCCTACTTGCCTAATGCTTTTTTTCTTCAATTGTCCCTGATTCTACAGGTATGCTCACATTCTTGTTTCTTCATGCCATATTTTGTCCTTTCTAATTTGACACATGATTGCATCAATCCCATATTTAACTAATCAAGTTACCACCTGCAGCATTACCTTCAGATCCACAGGTGCATGTGCTATTCTAGAGCGGATTTCGTATGAGTGGGAAACGGACGGTACTGTTCTGTGACCGTAATCGTACTGTAACCAAATTCTAGTGCCCCATTGGTTCACTAAAATTGTGCTGGCCAGGTCCGGTAACTGTGCGGTAACGGTGTCCCACTCATACGAAATCTACTCTAATGCATGTACACTGTACATGTAGTTACATGATTGTGTAACTCTTTAAGTTATGTTGTCATTCTTAATTCTATATTATATTGAGGTTACACATTATCAAAAGACAAGTCTGATGCAGAAGGTGACATGATATCAGCACATTTTATTTATCCTGAACTGATACTTGCCTGTTGGACTTCTTCATGGAAGGTGACTTTTAACATAATATAATCATAAGTATGGGGAATCAAACCCAGTCTATTGAGAAGTCCAAAGTTAACACATTTTCATGGTTGTGTATTTTATTACGTAACAATAGGATGGTGGAGAAGTTGCATTTATTACTGCCTGCTTACACTACAATAATCTTCTTAAAAGAGCTTTACTTGGGTCCTTTTCCAAGTAAGTGCTTTTCATTTTTCAACAGYAGCTATACACCAGACTCATTCTCCATCAAAAATTCAAAATGATTTTGAATTTCATATTTAATATAATCAAATTATTGCTCTATGAAATTCATATTTCATATATTTGACTAGAAACGTCAATAAATTCCAATCATTATAATTAATCGTAATTGTGATTTTCTTGAATATTTCTACTTTTAATAGTATCTTCCAAGCACCACTCCACAAGCCAGTTTTGGATGACGTTGACTCTCAGTATGGTAAATACCCAGCCCTGTACACAGGACACTCATTAGTCACTTATAGGACTTTACCCAAAACAAAATTATTGCCCTCCATTTGGTGCATTATAATTGAGATTGTTGTTTTGAGGTTGCATTATTGTCTTTGTTGTTGCTTTTTCTAAAGAAGAACTAAGATAAAAATATATTTCAGATTGCTAGAAGTATTTTGCTGGATTATGACTATTTAACAATTTATTCCAGTCTTCCTGATAGTAGTCATTCATGGCAAACCAATTCACATCTTTTGCCAAACCAAGCTTACTACAATCATTGACAAAATCCTTGGACCATTCCAGCGAATTTCCTCACTTTAAGCAACACCCGCCGACAATTTCATCACCCCTGACCCCCTTAATGCAATGTTGTCATTGATCATGATACCATAGTACACAAGCATCCAAAACAAGACCCAACATTGATGAAAGGGGGCTAAGGGGGAAAACTGTGATTATATAAAGGAGAAAAATGTTAGGCTGGAGAGAAATAATAATTGTACGGTCCAAGGTATTTTGGCAACGATTGTAGATTATTATCATTTAACTGCAACCATATCATACCTTACACAACTTATGTGCAGTTGTAATGGACAACAAAGGCTAAACATTTTCTGTTTAACAGGCCTTCATGGTTACTCTGCTATGGTTGAACTCAGAAACCACAAAGCATCCTACTGGAGTCACCAATTCAGAGACCTTAACTATAGTATGTAAATCAAGTAGTAAAGGATTTGACCAGCTCAATGCATGCAAAAACTGTTGTCAAGAAATAATGTCTCATGCTCTAAATTTCATTCACAGACTTTATCCTTCACTGGATACTGTGCATGTATACATGTTGTATAGCAGTCGAATAACAACAATTCGTTCAATCACCTCAAAACATCTTTAAATGTTTAGCCAATAAAAGTTTAACATTATTCTCCATAATTTTTATGAAATTATTTCATTGATCTGTAGGCAACATGACTTCAAATTGCATCATACTGCGTGATTTCCCAAATGGATCTTTTAGTAAGAAGATCACACTACCATGGAAAACAGAATTGTTCAGGAACACTTTGCAGGTTTTTATCAAATGCATCTGACCAACAACCATTCAGTCATCTAGTATTATTAGCCATTCCGGAGTTGCGCAGGGGACTGGGCACTAATCAAAGAAATATTGATCTAATYACGAAACAARCCCCACCMSATGAAAGGACACCCAAAAATTAGTAAATATACCAAGTTTCAAAACGTTTGGATAAAAACTAGCTGAACAGTATTTATTCCAGTTTCATCAAATTAACAGTAGAGAATGACGTATTGTTTTGGGGGACGCGGTCAAAATCCCCATACATTCTCTGTAAATTGCACGGCTTCTCATTAATTGAATATTTGTCCAAATGATCTGTAACTTGGAACCTACACTAAAGTCAATAAAGTATTTTTAGTGATATGGTTACTTTTTCGATTGGCTCAATATGACAGAAAATACAATTCATTTCATAACTCCAGAATGGCTAATTCATTTGGCATCATGTTGTTGTCTCATTTGTTTTTGTCTTGTTTTTGTTTTGTTTTTTTCTTCTTGTTTGTTTTTATAGACTGTTTGGAAGTTTATTCATCCAATAATTCATCCATTGTCTGTTTCTTGAATTCTTTATTTGACATCCAAAGAAATCTCCTTGTTCATTTGGCCATTCACTTAACCATAATTTATAATTTTTCTCAGGATGTCTGTATTTTAGATTTTACGATTCTAGATGAACACAGAAAGCCAATGTGGTGTAAAAGGTATGGAATCATTATTTTTATCCACTGGAATAAAACAAAAGAAAAAACACTACTGTTAGTAATATCTTCCTCTTTTCAAGGATTTTGAGTGAATATAATTTTCTTTTTCCATGCAAGCTCATTTCACAAACTACACTGTAGCTAAGGTATAAAGTATTATGATCAAAATCTGAAAGCTCCAAACATGGATCCTTCTGAAATCCCTATCCCACTTCCTCTCCTTCCCAATTCCACTCCCCTTCCTCAGTCCTCTAGTTTCGACTGTTCAGATCACTCACATGGTTTTGTTATAATTAAACTAGCTGTAAATTCAATTTTTTTTTTAATTTTGATTATAATTGTGTTTCTAGCTCTCCTGTTAAAGTTCATCAAAATGAAAATCCTGATGGTGAGAGTTTATACCTGCCCATCTTTTAACAAATCTTCTGACAGTGCATCAGTGCCATGTTCTATAGTCACCATAGTGCATTGTATATAAAAATAGTGATGGCCTATATTATGTGAAGACAAGTTTCAACACATAACCACAAACTGTCTTTTCTCAAAACTTTTTTGCATGAATATGTTTGGATATGTTTTGGATGTGCCTGGACACTAAACTAATTCCATAATTTCCCAGTTTTATCTCCCTGTGATTTTTTTGTTACTGACGAGCAAAATACGCTGTGAATAAATAGACTAAATCAGTCTCACCTGGATGCAGGGCATTTTAATTTTTTTTAAATATTTTTTTTTTTTTTTTTTCTTAGGGCTACTGAGCCTACGGCTTTGTTCTGATTTTTATTTTTATTATTTTTATTTAATAATTAATACTTAAAAGTATTTTTCTCTGAAATATGCTTTTTTTAAAGAAAACTTTTTATTAAACATCCCTTTAAAATTCTTTTATTTTAAATTGTAATATTTCTTCTTATATTGTAATTATATTTCTTATTTTTTCAAATTTCCAGTGAACTATTCTTCTGAAGGTGATTGCTTTTATATAACATACTCTGATGACAAAGGTACTTTACGCTTGGATTTGACCTGGGTGAGTGACAATTAGTTGATGAAGTGTAAAAAAAAATTACATATAACATGAACAGACAAAGTTCCTTTTATAAACCTGTTCATGTTTTTTAATTGATTTTAGAGATGCAGACAATTCCAACAAATCATCATTGCTTGATGCATGACATGCAAAAATTGTTTCACATTAATGTCAATATATTGTTATCATAATGACAAGTATATTTTGAAATACTTCAGTAATGTTAAATTAATTTATTGTTTGTAATCATTTCCAGAATTCAAATGAAGACCAAACTCGTGTTGTAGCAGTTGAGTTTTTACTGCTGAAATCATTTGTTAACCAATGGTTTGGAAGATCGTATTGATTCTCTTTATGTATTTATTAAATAAAAAAATAATTGTGAATATATGGAGATTAAATTAAATCGCAAAAATCGTGAAACAATAACGGGTGCACAGGATACTAGACGGAGATGTACTTAATTTGTATAAAATTTTGTGTAAATATGTTTTTCTATGGAAAATATAGAAAATTAAAGGGAAGTTATATAGTGCTTATATAGTGCTGAATTTGAAAAAAAAATCCTGCAAGCCATCTTCACCAAAAATAATAATCGCGCACAACATATGGACCTGAAAAAAAACTTGCACCACCCTAAGCCCCCCAAAAAATGTTACATACAAGAAAAAAAAATCCTACACACCACCAAGAGGAAAAAAAATATATCCTACCCAAAAGCCACGAAGAAAAAAAAATCTTGCTCACAAGAAATCATCCACCCCCACCCCCCCTCCCCCTCAAAAGTTAAATGGACCGTCCCTAACTTCACTTTATTTCTATATCATGTATCTCATAGTGCTATGCAGTCTTTACACTCATATGTCTTGTTTTTTTATGGATAATGAACATTCATTGAGAAATGAATATCTCATAATCATATTGCACCAGTCATTGACCACTCAAGGCAAAAAATAAAAGTGAACAACCCCACTACTTTTCAACCAGTTTCAATCAATCAATCAATCAACAACGTGTCAAAACTTTAAAAAAACTTTTATTTAGCTGATTATAAAAAATACCATCATTTTTTTCCCTTTCTCTTTGGTCTTTTCTTCTGGGTCCCAGTCCCCCAAAATGCTGGCGCTCGCGAAAAGCTGTGATTTTTTTGGAGGGGTGAGAAACGGATRTACACAGGCTATTTATAGAGCGGGGGATATCAAATGACTGGTGCATATCTTCAAATAGAGCTAATACAGTATATATGCTTGTAAATTAAACGAAAATCGTGTGAAAGAAATCCTTTTTGCATAAGAATTTCACAGGATCAATAAGCGCTTCAATAAGTCATTTCCTATATTTCTCTTATTTCGATGTATTTTGCAGTTGTTTCGAATTTCACATTGGCTTTTACATTGACACGTTCCGAACATTATTTTCGCGCCAAATTATTTCTAGTTGACTAATCAGTGATTGGTTGAATCAAAATTCGATTGTATTCTAAGCCAATTAGAAAACGCCTTGTATATTTTGGTAAGTGATTGGTCAAGCCGAAAAACTCGCGCCAATCCAACATCAAAACGAACTTCATGAAATATAGAGTTCATTCATCGTGCTGATGCCAAGAACTTTGTGTAAAAAAAATCGCTCGAAATTTCCTTTCAAGGTCAATAGTTCACTGTATATTTTATCTAAAAGAAAGATAATATGTCGTCAGAAGGCGATGACGTGCTAGCTCCTCAGCAAGAAGAAAAACAGAGACTGAATGATTCACCTGATTCTTCGATGGAGAGCGGCGAGGAACCGGAGAAAATTGCACTCAAAAAGAATATCACACTCCTAGACGGAATTGGACTTATTGCAGGAACTGTAATAGGCTCTGGTATCTTTATTTCACCCACGGGAATCCTTAAGGATACAAATTCTATAGGGCTTGCTCTTGTAGTATGGTTAGGATGCGGCCTTCTTGCTATGTTTGGTTGCTTGGTTTACGCCGAGTTGGGAGCATTTGTGACTAAATCTGGTGCTGAATATGCCTATCTTATGCAAGCTTTTGGTAAAATTCCTGCCTATCTGTTTGCCTGGACTTCAATTCTGATCATTCGTCCGGCGTCTGGAGCGATAATTGCCCTGATCTTTGGTGAATATGTAGCGAAGCCATTTTTTCCGACATGTGTACCACCTTCGGAAGCTGTGAAACTGCTAGCGTTTGTCTGTTTGGGTAAGTGTACAAGAAGTGTATTTGTCACCTTGTTTTAAGGAATTTCAAGTTTTTAAATTGTACTTTTTACTTCTTTATTCATATTATGTTATAAAAGACTCGAAAGTTAGGGAATGTATCAACAATGAAGATATGTAGTACCCCCTCGTGTTTTCAATGTTGTTCATACAAACCTGTAATGTTGTGAAGTTTTTTTACGAAAACGTGGCATCACGGCTCGCTGGTTTGGTGAAGTTCGTTTAATGTTATTTTTATAGGCTGTTTCAACCGAGGAGTGCTACTAAACCAAGTGTTTGGTGTAAATTTATATAAATGTTCGTGTTTTCTTTAATCCATTTTTTTGTGCTCCATTGCCCATCTCAACATCCCACGTGCATTTCAAAGCTATCACGATGTTAGCTTTGTTTTCTATAACTCTAAAAATGTCAATAATTTTGACACTTAGTTTTAGAGTTCAAGGTGCTTTTTACTGAACAATGTGGACATTGCTATAAATTTGATTGAAAATATTTTGTTTTCTCTCGGGATTAAGTTTTGGCGCGCCTTTCCACTCGTTGCATCATCCTATGGCGACCATGATTTGAATTGCAAATAGTACCGGTGGTAATCGTTCAACGTAATAATAATAGTCTTCATAAAACTGTCTTAAAAATAAGAGTAATACAGTCAATAAGACATTTTAGAAATTGCTTGACGAAAAAAATGTATTAGAACCCCAAATGAATATTATTGTTAAAGTTCGTTTGGAGAAAGAAATGGAATTAGATTCCTTGTGATTCTCGAAGCAAGCGGCGGCTTCTATTTATTTTTGATTATGATTGAAGAACATTTTATAGAATAAAACGATATGTCTAAATCATAGCTTTTAGATCGAAAAAATGAATATGTTATATGAATATGTACCAAATAAGGTACAAGTTTCGTGCAATTTGGTAACTTCCTCATCGCAAATTTCATCTTGATGTGACGCATAATTAATAGTCGAGTTTCAGATCCGATCTCCAAGTGAATTGCTATGGTTTACAATATATTGGTATTTGCCTTGATAATAGTTTGGCTTTTTCTCATCAACCATTTGTTTGTTTTTAATATATTTTGTATGTGTAGGTGTACTGACTACAAAATAAGATTTGAATAAAGGTCAGGTGAACAGAAAATAAGTAAAAAATTAAAAAAAAATGAATGGCCAGGTCTAAATCACCAAAAAACGACTTTGTAAACATGGGTTACCTGTGAAGGCTAGGATGTTGATTTTTGTAGTTACTCCCGTCCTTAGGACGTGGAATATCCACTTTGTTATCGCCCGATGTTATTATCGCCACAAGTCTGTAACATTGTGATGTTACAATAGCATGACATCAATTGGCATTAATATTCAACTTTGAGATGAAGACCAAATGGCAGACACATGGCGACAAACAGTTGTCTCGTTTTAGATGGCTGTAAAATGTAGCTAAAATGCTCAAAGGAGCTGGAAATTATGCACAAAACAACTGATTATGATCCATCACACATGAAAGGAAAGAAACAAAACTTCTTTTTCCCACAGGATTTGAATTGTGTGGTACCGTACATAGCAACGCGTTAGCCGATTTGGTCTATAATAAAGCTTCATTATCATGACAAAACTAAATGATTTTTGCTAGACATACTGCATTTAATTAAAGAAAAAATATTTTGCAATAATAACATTTTTTGTGACATTCTTTTTTTTTTTTTTTTTTCCTACATTTGAGCCATTATGATTAAGTCACTTGTAAGGACATCTGTCTCACAGGTTCAAGTTGCACTTAAATATATTCCTGTGTTGATATCTGGTTTCGGTTTATATTGTTGTTCATTGAGTTGGTAAAGAGAATGAAGTTCACATAGTATTTTTCTATCCTTATATTATATTTCTCAACAAATGTTACCATCAAAGTGATTATTGAGGCAAAGTTGATAAGGATGTCTTTTTAAAAGACAGTTCAAATCTTTAACTAAGTGCTCTAAATTATCACCCATATCCTAATAAGCACAGCTGTCTATAATGTTTGCTTGTTGACTTTTGGCATGTGACAAATGCAAACAATTTATAATAAACATGGTTTATACTACTCCTTGAAATACTTGAAAAGCCCTTGAAAATGCCAAAACTCCTTGAATGCCCTTAATTCAATGCAATGTACAGTTGTTTTTGAGTTTTTGATTATGAAAAGCATTATAACCATACATGTACCGGTAGCTGAAAACATGAAAATGTTATCTTTAATAATGGTCCTTATACTTGAGCATTCCTTGACTTTTGTAATGAAAACATAGTCACCCTGAGCAAGTGTCCAGTTTGCAATGCAAATATAAGTATGAAGTTTCTTATAATTGTTATAAGCAACAATGTTATTATGAGGTATGCATGTAAGGGGTTGCCATATAATTGTAAATGTACAGTTATTGCTAAGGCTGACTCAATTTCTAATCTTTTTTATTGCAGTCGTTGTAACTGCAGTGAATGTTTGGAGTGTCAGATGGGCAACTCGTATGCAAGATATCTTTACATACTCCAAGTTGATATGCATTGCCATATTGACAATCATTGGAATTGTGGAAATGGCTCGAGGTAATGTTATACAACTTGATAAATTATTATAATGATGGAAATACTGAATACATTGTAATCAAATCTCTCTTGTTTATATGAAGAAGCAAATGACATTTTGGTGTCAACCTGACTCTGTGAAACTTTGTTAAACTTGATAATTTGTGTCAAGCAAACACTGGAAAGTGGCACTTTGCACTATTAATATTACTTTACAATATTACACATAACATTACACCTAGTATTGCAAGAACTCAGTCATAGAAAAAAAGATACAAAAGTAACAATCACTGCCACTCGAGTTGAACCAATCTCTTTGCCATAAAATTAATTCGCACTTGCAAATATTACTTTTGTTCAAAATGTGTATTTTTCATTTTAACATAGCATATCAACTGTCTTGCAATTAGGTGTCTCAATCTAGTCCCTGGTTTGCCCAGAAAATACAATCAGTTGCTTTGATGCATTATTACGATTGCTCTCTGCATGCTTTCACCCCATGACACAGAATTCAGAATCCAGGGAAATGTAACTCTGGATTGCAGAATACAAGCACTTGAAAACTAGAATCCATTTCTCAATGGAATTCATTTCCAATAAAATAGTTGAATATGGAATCCACCATGATGGTTAATTGTAAAATCCATGTCTGCATGGTGTGAATGTTTTATATTTTTTAAATTGTTATTTTAAAAGAAGTCATCCAAGGGCATCAATTGTCTGTCAGAAAAACGAGTATTGCATATTATTGAAATGGGTAGTTCCAGAAAATATCCGTACCATACGACGGGTGGCATCGATTTTCGACCCCCCCCCTCTCCTTAAGAAATTCCGAAATTGGGTATCCCCCCTCCCCTTAGGAATTCCAAAACTGTGTTTTACCCCCCTAGGAAATTAATTCCTCCCCTTGGAAATGAATAAGAATAACTATTCTCTCCAAGAACTGTTTAAGAGAACGCACTGTCAGATCGTTTGAAAACCCCGGGGGGGGGGACTCCCTAATATCAAAGGGCGGGGGTCCTCGGCGGAGATTGTGAAAATGACCCCTAAAAGGGACCTCTATTGTAAGATGATGGGCGTGGCAGTGCTGAAATTTCAACCCTAAAAGGGACCAATCAATAACAGGTCATTTTGTTTTGGTTAACCGATTTTATTTGTGTTTTTACACAATCATCGAACACC